CCTTTGTTCGCGCCTTTGTTCCAGAAATGGGGCCACGCACCGCTGAAACGGAGTTGGCCTGACCCAGCGGAAATCAGCGTGCTGGAAATGGAGCCTTCTTCGTGGTCAGAATAGATCTATTCGTGTGCAAGCGCCTCCTTACAGCGCGGTTGGCGTTATGGGAGAACGGTGTGCCGTATGCCAGTTGCGCTGCCTCTGTTTATCAGCCAGAGGATCTGCCGAGCTGCCGTTGCAAAACGGTCGCGTTGGATGGGCTGAGTGTCCGTAAACCATGCTGGGAGCACCGCTGCGCACCATGGGAGCACGGCGTGCAGTGGTGCTCGTTCAGTGGAGAGGCGCTGTAGCTCCGCTTCTTGAAGTCAAGTGTCCTGTCCGCCTATCTTCTGAAGAGCTCTCCTGCCGCGCGTGCCAGAGTGCCAGCTAAGCTCGCCGCCTTGAGGTCTCTTCGCTGTGCTCCGGGACGGATCCGGCTGGTGAAGGACGGGAGACCGGCGACGCCAACCAGCCGTATCTGGCATCTAACCTCCGGCGGCGACGGCCGGCGAAGGTCGCCTGGCGCGCCATGAACCCGGCCGCCGATCCTGCCCGGCTTGCGGTTTTAATAAGCGGCGGCCGCTGCTCGATAAGTCGATGACGGTGGACGCGGTAGCGACTGGACCCGCTGGCTGCAGCTGGCCCGCCGGGCGCATCTATCGACCGCGCATGCGGCACACCTCCGACCGGCCTCAATCCGGCACCGGATACCGATTAGTGACGGCCCGTGCACTGGCCGCGGCTCACCTGCGGGCTCGTGCGTCGGCCGCGCCGCCGCGCGCTCATCCCGCTCCTACGCGCGCGCGGAATCGACCGGCGCCTTTTTGCGGCCACAAAGAGCGCACCCCGACAAAGCGGGCGCCGCTGAGGAGGCCGTGCGATGGCCAGACGGCGGCCGGCGGCGCGGCGGCACGGCTCGGCGACCCGTCCCCGATGGACGGCCGGCTCTGTCGCGCCATGGTGCAGTGCCTCTGCCCCTGGAGCGGCCGGCCGGCGCCTTGGGGCAGCCAGTGGCTGGTGCGCCCGGTACCGCGGGCCACAGGTGAGAAGGGAGCTGCTGCCCACTGTCGGTGAGAGAGGGGACTCCATCGGACCCTGGAACGGCTGATGCCGCCGGCCACAGGTGAGAACAGCGGCCGCTGTCCTGCGTCGGTGAGAGAGGGGACTGGCGCCCTGGGGTGGCCGGTGCCGCGGGCCACAGGTGAGAACAGCGGCCGCTGTCCTGTGGCGGTGAGAGAGGGGACTGGCGCCCTGGAGTGGTCGGTGCCGCGGGCCACAGGCGAGAGTGACGCCTGCCGCCCTGGGGCTCCCAGCGGCTGCTGCGGCCGGCGCCCTGGGGCGGTGAGAGAGCTTTCTGATGATGCCCTGGGGCGTCCGTCAGCGGGCGAAGATGGTCGCTGCCCTGGGCTGGTCCCCGGTCACGGGCCGTTGCGGCGGGAGGCAGGTGAAAGCAGCAACTGTCGTCCCGGCGGGTGGCTGGAGCGGGACTGTCGCTCCGGCCGCGGTCGGGGGCGCCGCTGCCCGCCGGCGGCAGGTGGTGCAAGGGACTGAGCGCGCCGCCGGCCGCCTGCTGGCCCTGACTTTGGGCGGCTGCACACGGACAGGGTCGCGGCCGGCCAGCGTGGCAGCGTGACCAAGCTCGCGCACCCTCGACAGCTGACAGTACACAGGCATCCATCAGGCTGCAGCTTCAAGGACGCTTTTTATGTGACCTTGGAGCACTGCCGTTTGGCTCGGCGCTTGAATATGCACTTTGTGTTTTGGTAGCGGTGTGTTATTCTGCCCTCCCGTAACCCCAGCGGATGACATTTAATCGTAACGAAGGACGTCTTGTGTTGCCAAGCTCCTGTGCTCCTAATCGTGTTACGTAACTCCAGATGGGGGGGGGGGGGGGAGAGCGAGTCGTTTCTTGCTCGTCAGTCATCACTAATGACTGCTGATATCGCTATCGCTGTCCTCTGGTCGCTCCGATGTCGATTGATCCGTGTGGCCTGTCCACGCGCGTCTTGCGCTGAGTCACGGCGCCGTGATGGCCGCTGCTGGCCCTGGTGTCAAAGGTTTGGGGGACCCGGTCACTGCGCGCATCCTTCCACCTTGCCTTCGCACCGGCCTGTGTGCATCTCTGGCTCCGCGGCACGTCTCGCGTCTGCGTCTGCGGCGATGCGCCGGAGAGGGTCACCGAGCGTCCGATGCCACGCGGACGGGGTCTGGCAGTGACCGGGCGGCGGACGCTGTTGCGCCGGCCGGCCGCGGTCAGCGACGTCCGCCGGTGTCGGCCTCGGCCGGCCGCTGACTGGTGACCCCGGCGGGGCCCGCGGCTCCGCCAGCCGCTCCCTGGCGGCCACTTCCCCGCGTCAGCTGGCCGGCTGCCGAGGTGAACGAGCGCCGCCGCCGACGACGGCGGCGATGACCCTGACACGACCCGGCGACCGCGGCGGCGGTCGAGCGCGCGCGGCGCGGCCGGTGCGTGTGCGCCGCCGCCTGTCAGTCGGCCGGCCGAGGGAGGCCGCCCCGGCTGAGGTCCCCACGGGGAGCGGGCGGCGCCTGCCACTCGGGAGTCGGTCGGCCGACCGCGAGGTGCCCCCGCGGGAGCGTTGTCGGGCAAGAGCCCGGCGGGACCGACCATGCCACCGGCGATCGTCGCGCTCTAGTGCCGCAGCGGTGTGGCGCCCCCACCAGCTGCAGTGACTGTGGCTTTGTGTTGCTCGGGTCTGTGGTGCATTCTGAAGATGGGTGCACTCCGTGTTGGTGAATAGCTCGTGGCGAAAAACTCACCATGCACACGCCGTAGCCCGTGTGCCCCAAAGCTCTGGCTGTTATTGTTATGATATGCTAGATTGAAGTTTGTTTAAGAGCTCTCGGTCCTTGCTCAGTGAGCGTGGTTTTTTCTAGTCCCGTGACTGATCCTTGCGGCGATGCGCGCTGTTGTTTTCTGGTCGCGTGGCTCATCTTCGCGGTGATGCACGCTTGCAGCGATATCTTCTCCGCGCTCTGGAGCGCAGAGTAACGGGTCCCTGTCGCTCCGTGGCACCTGAACAGCTGGAGCGGGGCCGCCGACAGCGTCGGGCACCGCGGACGTCCTTGCCAGCTGGCGCCCGCCGGGTCAGCCGGCAGCTGCCCGCCGGCATTGTTCGCGCCGGTAACGACACATCCGCAGCTGAATCGGGCGTTCTCGGAGCGCGTGACTCCTCCCTCCTCTTCTCCGGAGTGCCAGCTCAAGAGCTTAGCGGCCAGGAGTGCCAGATTTAGTGCTGAACACCGTTGCGCGATAGGCGTCACGCGCGTTTGGGCGATGGCGCTGAGTGGTCGCCGAATGAGTCGGCGGTCGCTGCGCATGAGAGCTTTAATGTTAGCCCCCGTGACTGTGCTGCCAGGAGGACACTCCGCCCAGCCCTCGCCGCTGGCCGAGTCGCTGAAGTGGGAGCGAGAGATTCAAGGTCCCCAGCGACTGGCCGCTTTCGGATATCGATCACGCCGCGCGGGCATCTCGGCCCGGCCGCGGCCGCCACCGGCGCCGTCAGCACGTCACCGCGATAGGGCCTGCCGTGACGGGCCGGCACAGCGCTGGGCCGGCCGCCGCGGCGACCGCGCCGGTCTGACCAGCCGCGCTACTGTCGGACTGGACGCCGCCACGCCGCGGAAGGGGACGCGCGACCCCCGCCTGGCTTTGTCCTGCGCTCGCCGCGGGCGGGTGCGGGTTCCACCGTGACTGGTGCTCCCGCCGCGATCGGCCGCCGCCGCCGCGCTGGGGCCCGCTTCCCCGCTGCACACCAGCCTGTAGGTCACCTTGACGGCGGGGACCGAGTTGCCTGGCGGTAATTGGAAGCGATCCGCCGACCTCTTATAGCCCGGCAAAAACGTCAACATCCTGCACGATAGTAACCCCCACCTGAAAGCGCTGACCTTGAACGGAGCACCGGCAAGCGTGGCGGGTCGTCGGGCTTGTTTACATCACCGCCCCGGGCTCTGATTCGTGCGGTCTGATTCAAGCGCTCACGTTGCAGCCGCTGCCGAGCGTGCATCGTGACAGGTGTCGTGCTGCCGCGTTTATCGCCCGATCTCGGCGGCGCACGCTGTTCTCCGGTGATGACGAGCAAACTTCCCGCTGGATATCGTGCGGAGCCCGGCCGCCCGAGCGCGGCCTCCCGGGATCGTTACGCAAGCCCTGACGTCAGACGCGGCATAGGCCGACGCCGACGCGTCAGGGCCGTCAGCTGTGCACCGCCGGCGGCGGGGGAGAGGTCGGGATTGTCTCCCTGCCGCTGACCGACGGCAGGTGTCGCGGTCGTTCTGATTTCGCTGGGGAGTGGGCATAGCCATCGCACGTCCCGGGACGCGGTTCCCTGACGTTGCTGGGAGCGGAATAGCGATCGGTCTCCTGATGCCAGCTAAGGAGAAACACGGCGATTGTTCTCCAGGGGCCGGATGGGAAGTCACAGCACGATCTCAGACATTTGTCGTCCTCCCGACTTTTGGTGAGAACGTGAATTCGCGACCGTGCTAGTCTGCCGGTAACGACCTGCGACGTGTAAGTGCCGCGAGCCTTCTGTACCTGTGTGTCTGTGCTGTGACGGCAGTGATGGTGCGCGCTCGCCCTGTGTGTCTGCTGTGACGGCAGTGATGGTGCGCGCTCGCCCTGTGTGTCTGTGCTGTGACGGCAGTGATGGTGCGCGCTCGCCCTGTGTGTCTGTACTGTGACGGCAGTGATGGTGCGCGCTCGCCCTGTGTGTCTGTGCTGTGCCGGCAGTGATGGTGCGCGCTCGCCCTGTGTGTCTGTGCTGTGACGGCAGTGATGGTGCGCGCTCGCCCTGTGTGTCTGTGCTGTGACGGCAGTGATGGTGCGCGCTCGCCCTGTGTGTCTGTGCTGTGACGGCAGTGATGGTGCGCGCTCGCCCCCAGTTGTCCGGAGGCGGTGCGCCTGCGCTCCCCGTCCGCTCACCCGACGTGCCGTGCCTCTCTCGCTGCAGTGGTGCGGCCCGACATGGAGGGCACCGAGGAACCGGAACCCAGCGAGCTCTTCAGCGACCTCGGCACCCTGCTGGTGGAGGGACGCATGGCCGGCGGGCAGCGCGGCTTCCACGAGGGCCCCCACTGCGTGCTGGTCTACCCCTACCGGCAGAACAAGCACGTCTGCGATGCCGGCAGCATTGTGGTGCGTAGCGCCCCGGCCTGCTTTCAGCCCTGGCCATGCGGACGGACTGAGTGTGGCATCGTGGTGGATGTGGCCACCGTCCTGTGCTGTCCCCACCCATGTAGTAGCGGCTGGTGTAGTGTCAGGATGTGACGTTAGCTACGCGAGCGTACAGTAGCTGTTGGATTCACCGAGATTCGGCCCCGCTCGAAGCCCGTCCGTGGTTGGTGGAGTGTTAGGCTGTCGAACTTTGTTTGGTTCTGTTTGAAGTAAGTGGGCTGTGATTGACTTGGGGCGGCTCGGTGTCACTGCTTCATACGCGTGGTCAGAGGGATCCTGTTCTGGTTTCCGTGCCCTGCTCGTTACTCTAGTCTCGTCGTCACGAAAGCCCCCCCCCCCCCCCCCGTGTCTTGCCTCTCCTGTCCCTTTTGCCCGATCAGAGTGAGACAGTGTCTGTGCTGCCGACTGGACGTGTGTCGCTCCAGCAGTGGCCTGCGTGCAGTTGGAGCACACCTGTCTCAGCACACACACATGGTGCTACCCCCGCGGACGGTGCTTGCCGGGGCGTTGCCAGATAGCGCTGGTGTCACTGTTGACACGCCATACGTCAGACGTCACGAGATGCTCCCCGATCCGGAGCCGGATCGCGTGGCCGGGCTTCTGGCGTCCGCAAATAGACACCCTGGGGCCTCGTGTGTGAGACCGACGACTGGCAGCCGTCGGCATAGTTCAGTGAAGCGATTGTCTTCGGTTGCGCTTTTGAGGGCTCGAGAAAACATCGGGCGCGTGGACATAAATGGATGGTGGTATCATGACGCGCTTGCCTGCGGCATCACGTGTGCTTTGTTTGAAGCTGTGCACTTTGGCTGCATGTCAAGATTCGTTTGTTTCGCTACACAAATTGTTGGTGGAGGAAGGAGACATCACATACGCACAGCTGATGTCAGTAAAATAAGAAGGATCGCCTCGCCGTGTAGCCAGACATCTAATTCAAAACAGCTGCCGCGATTTGCTGAACTCCACGTGACGAGCCAAAACTTGGAGAAGCAGTGAGGTTTTGTGAGACGCTTCTTTTCATTTAAAATTACAAGTGTAATGTGAAATTCCGCAAAATATGCGGTGGTCTCGAATCACCCCAGGGCAGAAGCCTATGAGTTGGTGACCATTGGTGCGGTACATTAAGTCTGGATGGAAGATTACATAGTGAAGCGTTCAATGGACTGACGCAGTCAGGCCGCACCAATTGTAATTGATTTTCCACTAATTGGTACGGACCGAATGGCCATAGTAACCCTAGGTTATCTGGCCTCATTATTTCATTATTCGATTCAATATTTCATAAGTAGCCCCAAAGCGGAGCTTGTGTTGTGAGCTGGACGTCCGGGTACTCAAAAGTGCATCAAACATTGATTCTCAAAGCCAAACTGGTTGTGTCACGTACTTGCAACCTGCTGAAACCAATTTTTTTAGAAGCGCAGTGGATTAGCGGTCGTCTCGTCGCAGCAAGTCGCTTGGGTTTTGTGGGCATCTTAAGCTATCGCGAAGAGCAACGGCTTATTACACAAGCGACTGTTATGACGTAACTTTCGCAATGACCGCGTCCTGGGATTAGTCCCGGTCTCAGTTGTCGTCTTAGGCTGGTGGTGATGTCGGTCTGCAGCACTCGTCTCGGCTGTACCGTGCCACTGAACAACGAGCTGGTGTGCTCTCGCGCGTTGGCTCCGGGCCAGAGTCAGGGGACCAGCTGGGGTCTGGCGGCTGACTCCCAGCAGCTTGACAGACGCGTGCTGCAGAGCACCTGACCTGTTCACACCTGAAGCGCGACGTCTTCCGCTTCATCGGAACTGGATGGGTGGTGTCGTGTCCTGGTATTGCTTCCGATGGCCGGCATGTGTTCACGGGTGACCTACCCCCTGCCTTACGGGTGATCCTTTACCGTACACGGAAATGATACGGCACGGTGCCTGTCGTTCGGCGGATGACGTCGCGTGTCGCCTGACCCGATGTCTGACTTGTTGCCTCCTGTCGCACCCGCTGTCTGACGAGTGACCTGTTGTGTTGTTGTGCGGCAGGTGACTTGACTGTCATGTGGCCTGTCGTCTGTCTGATGCGCTGTCTGACGTGCTGTCCGGCGGGATGATCGTTGTCTGACGGGCGATCCGTTGTCTGACCCGCCACCTGACCGGTCGTCTGGCGGGCGATCCGTTGTCTGACCCGCCGCCTGACCGGTCGTCTGACGGGCGATCCGTTGTCTGACCCACCGCCTGACCGGTCGTCTGACGAGCGATCCGTTGCCTGACCCGCCGCCTGACCGGTCGTCTGACGGGGACCGCTCCGACCCGGCAGTGCCAGCGCGAGGGGGAGCTGCGGCGCTACATGTACCTCCTGTGGCGCAACAACATCCCGATGTCGGTGGAGGTGCTGCTCTGTCCACCCTGCGTCCACGGCCAGAGCCGCGCCATGGCCGTGGACGCGGCGCCCGGCCCCGGCTACCTGCTGCTCGAACAGTGGACCGTCCACATGGAGACGGCTGTGTGAGTAAGCCCGCGCGGCTGCCGCCGGGGCTCCGCAGGCCGCCGTGTAAATGCCGTCTGCCGCCTCTGAAAATGCCTTACGGGTGACCCATCCTCCATCAGCCCATGGCTGGTGGAGGAGATTAATTGGAAGCTGACATTGGACTGGATTCACCAGTCAGGCAGATAATTGCTCCTGACATTTTGCAGAAATACTTGGCGCGATCTGCTACAGGCACTTTGAGGTACTTTGGCCACAAGGGAATCTGGCACATCTTGTTGAAACTTTTCAGTGGGGAAATCCACATTGGCGTAGTGTATCTATTCATGAAAGCTCAGTGTAGGGCAGTTATGAGTAACTGCGTCAATGAGGCAAACGCTTTATGCCGAAAATGATGCATGCCCACCATGATCGCAATGTTTAACGCATAGACAAGTTGGCAGATGGCATAGCGTGTCAGCATATTGCCTCAGCTTGTCACGTGTTCTTGACATCCACTTAGTTCAGGCCGTCTGGTATGCATACGGCGTCAGCGTCTTAAGTCGGCCAAGATTTACGGACCATTACGCTGGCCGAAATTATAAAGCCTACCAGGTTTCAGAATGCGAAGCAGAAGCAATAGACCACTTTACATTCGTATCGTAAGGATTCTTGACGCGGCCGAGGGCGGCAATGCTCGTTAAATGAAAATGTTTGGCTCTAGTTGTTGTTTTTGAGACGTTATGTTCGGTGTGAGGGCGACTTTTTACCTACGTTATAAGGATTAAGATGTTGATAAAAAATTGGGATATGTTGGTTTTAGTTGTCGACTTTAGTTATCGACCCTGTCGACTTTGTTAAAGTTAAAGTCGACTTGAAGTTAAACTGTGCTTATGGCCTTCACAAACCATTGGTCACTCGATGTTTGTTATTATTGAGAACGTAATTTAAGGTGTTCATGCGATTCTGATTTGTTACGTTCCCTAATTTTGAAAATTAACGTCTCGCCCATTGTCGTTCTTGAGTGTTAGGAAAATGGATGAGGAACAAACAAACGAAATAGCAAAGCCGTAGTTCGACGATAATTTTGACTTCAAAAGCTAAAGCAAGAAGCTCAGAAACCCTTTCACGTTGGGCCCATAGTCATGCTTTATATATGTAGTCCTCGTATAAACATAAGGCGCTCACATATAACCCAAAAAAACTCATAGTCAGCTGTCTCTCCTTATCCACATCCGTGCCTACTGACGATTGCCGTGTTCTCCCGGAGCCCCCAGGGCCGGGTCCGCGTCTGACCCTGCTCCTGTCTGCCGGGCAGGCGCTGTCACCGGTCGTCGGTGGGCGCTCACGCCCTCCTGCAAGCCGTCTATTCGTACCTGCACTTCTCCGAGCTGTCGGCCTGGCTGAGTCGCAGCGGCGGCGCCCGGCCGCGTAACGTCATGTACCGCATCACGGTACCGGGCGACGCGTTCGGCACGCGCTTCGCCGGCGGCGCGCCTCAGCTGCACACCTTCCCCACCGCCTATCTGGCCAAGGACCGCACCCTGGTGCAGGTGGGCAGGCGCGCAGCACAGGGCGGGGCCGTCGCGCGTCGGCACAGCCGGCTGGGTGGGTGTCAGCACACTCAATGCTGGTGTTTGCGGCTTGGATTTTTACCCAGACAACGGCATTGATGCCGATTTGGACGTTCTGCGTAATTGTTATTTCATTTGGCCCATTTTGGCCACGCGTGATATGACGTTTCTTTTGGTCGATTCTCACTGTTTGCAATATGTCGTTTAGTACACACCATGTTAGCGTGTCTGTCCATCCGACGCCCGATTGTTCCTGATCTGCGCGAGGTTTGCGTGCCCGTGTGGCCGGCCCCGCGCGTCGTCTCAGTCTGGCGGAGCAGGACCGCTGACCGTCAGCTGAGCCCTGAGCCCTGAGCTGAGCTGACTGACCGCTGAGCCCTCTCCACCGTCAGGTGAGCGTGCGCGCTCGGCCCCGCTGCGACGCCGTGCCCACCATCCCGTGCGACGCCTGTCAGGGCCGGCGACGAGGAGGAGCCGGCGGGCGCGTGCGCCGCGCCGCCCGCCGGGCCATCAGGCCCCGCCGGCCGGCCGGAGGGCGCCGCCAGCCAGTGGTACGTCCTGCGACGGCGCTGCGGCTCTCCACGGGCATGGGTGCAGTTTCCCACCGCCCACCAGCCCACCGCCCACCAGCCCACCAACCCACCACCCACCAGCCTACCAGCACACCAGCCCACCGCCCACCAGCCCATCAGTCCACCAACCCACCAGCGCACCGTGCGCAGGCCGCCTCTTGAAATGGGTGGCGACGGGTCCGGACTGTGATTGACGAAGCTGTCTGTGGGGAGGGAGGGACGGGATGATGCGGTTTGGCGGAACGGTTGGTGGGTCAGTCGGGTCGCGCGAGGATAGTGATCTCCAGTCATGCCTACCGTGACAAGAGCGCGGCCCTGCCCGAAAAGAGCGTGGGTGACCCTGCTCTGTATATGCCCGTCTGTGGAATCTGTTTCTTTATGTCTACACTCAAGAGTGATCTAAAGGCAGCGCTGGGAGCAGATACTATGCTTGCCTCCTGGTTGCTGTGAGGAAGAGCCACGCCCGTGAAACCTGGCGCTGTTTTCGTCTGTTTGATATCTACCTCCCCGTACCGTTAAGGCGCCCAGAATCAGGCACCGTGACCTTTGTCTTGCTCGGTTCGTGCTGGGGACTTTTGATTGTCCCGGTGATAACGCGGCTTGTGTCCAGGTCGGAGGACGACCTGCGGCGCAGCATCATCAAGTCGCGGCTGCAGGGCGCCCTGTCCGACTCGCGCGACTCCCTGCTCGGCGACTCGCTGCTGGACCCGCCGCGCAGTTTGCACAAGTACCCGAAGCGCTACCAGAGCCCGTCGCGGTCCGGCTCGCCCAGCCTCGAGACGCCCGAGCACCTGATGTTCGGCAGCCGGGACAGCAGCGCCGAGCGCAGAGGTCAGCCGCCGGCGTCACGCCGCTGGGGAGCACGCGCGCCGTCCTCCCGCCGGACCCGCTGGTCACGCCTCTGGGGAGCACGCGCGCCGTCCTCCCACCGGACCCGCTGGTCACGCCGCTGGGGAGCACGCGCGCCGGCCTCCCGCCGGACCCGCTGGTCACGCCTCTGGGGAGCACACGCGCCGGCCTCCCGCCGGACCCGCTGGTCACGCCGCTGGGGAGCACACGCGCCGTCCTCCCGCCGGACCCGCTGGCCACGCCTCTGGGGAGCACGCACGCCGTGTTCCCGCCTGGACCCGCTGGTCACGCCTCTGGGGAGCACGCGCGCCGTGTTCCCGCCGGACCCGCTGGTCACGCCTCTGGGGAGCACACGCGCCGGCCTCCCGCCGGACCCGCTGGTCACGCCTCTGGGGAGCACGCGCGCCGTGTTCCCGCCGGACCCGCTGGTCACGCCTCTGGGGAGCACGCACGCCGCCCTCCCGCCGGACCCGCCGGTGTTCCGGCTATGGCGTCCCTGTGTCGAGGTCCGGGGTCGGGATGGTCGAGGTCCGGGGTCGGGATGGTCGAGGTCCGGGGTCGGGATGGTCGAAGTCCGGGGTAGGGATGGTCGAGGTCCGGGGTCGGGATGGTTGTTGTGCGCGGAGTGTCGGGCGGTGCTGGGGAGTGTGTTTGGGTTGCTCTTCAGTTCCTAGCCAAACCATACTTGTTTACTTGAGATACAGTTCAAAGACACATGGCGTGGGCTGTTTGTGTGGCGTGATTATGTAAACGGGCACCGTGAACTGGGTTGCGTAATTGGAGGTTGTGAGCGGACGGGCTGTGACTGCTACACCGCGCGATGGTGATCCATGTACCGTGCACGGAGGAGATGGTCCCTGCACCGTGCACGTAGGTGGTGATCCCTGCACCGTGCACGTAGGTGGTGATCCATGCACTGTGCACGGAGGCCGAGATCCATGCACCGCCACTGATCTGAGATGACAGCACTCGACACCGAACCCGCCGAGCCCGCGCCGTCGGCGAGACCGTGGGAGTGACGGCGGCCCTGCCCTGCCGCCAGAGCACCGGAGCCGCGGCCTGAGCCGGCGCGTCATCACGGACCAGTGCGCCGACCCGGAGCTGGCCTGGACGCAGGCGTGCGCCACCTGGAGCCGCGCCGGCTCGGACGCAGACGCCGCCAGCCCCGAGCGCCACGCTCCAGCCGGCGCCGCGGCCGGGCGCTGGCCCTCGCTGGAGCGGCGGGAGCGCACGGCCTCCAAGGAGCGGCGCCGGTCGGGCGAGCGGCGGGACGAGGAGCGGGCGCCGTCCTCGGAGAACGCGACCTCCGCCGAGGACGCGCCCTCCATGGAGGAGTGGCAGCGGACGGAGGAGTGGCGTGGGCAGGAAGAAGAGGCGGACAGTCAGGCGGAGGGACAGCGACGGACATTGGACTCACCACGCGCCGACCTGCCGCAGGTCAGCCAGACAGACGCCCTGCAGGGCCCTGGGTGATCGCGAACTTAATGTAGTGTGGAGAAACACAACAATATCAGCATCACATCTCCGTAATCCAGATGTCTCTCCCACATTCTTGCGATTGCTCGGATTGTTATCATTAGAACGCTCTCGGGGCAACCTGGACGGTTCCGCCAATGGCGAAGAGCTGTCACACCGGGCGTGCTGATGACCGCAGTCAGCTGACCGGGCCGGGCGGTCGGCTCTGCTGACTCCGGAATCGTTGTCGGCAGGCGCGGGAGGGCGAACGGCCCAGGAGGCGCACCCCGCAGCGCAGCAGGAGCGACGGCGCCGGCCTGTTCCTGCTCACCTCCGAGGAGAAGCTCCAGGTGGTCGCCGTACTCAGGTAACGCACGCCCCGTCCTGCCGGCCAGACGGCTGTCCCGTAAGTGTGGAGCGGTGGTGGGGTTCGGCTCATGGTTGGGGTTGTGAAATGAAGTCGTTTGCCGTTGCTGGCGACAATCGAGCCAGTCGTTCGTCATTTTTCAGTTTCGCTGTCCTCTCCAAGTGCTGACCAGTTCCGAGGCTTTGCTTATGGTCGTCGAAGTTTCCTGAGTAGTGCCCATGCGTGTGCTGCACGCCCGTCCATTACATATGCGAGTAGTACCAAGTAGTAATAATATAGTATATAATGAAACATATAACAAGTAAAATATATATGACATATCAAATAGTATATAATAAGTAAGCCTGCGACCTGCTCTCCCCTGGTCTTCGCCGCCGGTCGTGCGACTGACACCGGCGCCGTCCCCGCAGACACTCTGCGCTGCCGGGCGGCCGGCCCGCCGCCTCCGCCCGCCAGCCAACGCCGCCCGACAACCCGCTGCTCTCGGCCATCGAGCGGGCCGGCCAGGCAGACGCCCGCACCGAGCGCGTGCGCACCAGCCGCTTCGTGGCGCGCGCGGCGCCCGTATGGGGCGGCGACCAGCAGGCGGCGCGGCTGCTGCGCTCGCCGGCGCGGCCGGCCGACGGGCCGCGCCTGGTGCGGCTGGTGCGGCGCGCGCTCAGCTTCGAGGAGCCGCCGCCGCGCGGCGCCACCGTCGCCGACCGGCGCGACCACGCCGAACGCGGCCGGGAGAGGACTACCAGCGCCACCTGTCAGCAGGTCGCGAGTGGTGCGGGCGAACGGGTTACCAACGGCACGAGCGAGCGGGCCTCGAACGGCACGTGCCAAAAGATCTCAAGTGACACGTGCGAACGGACAGCAAAAGGCATCTGCGAGCGCGACGCGAGAGACACGGGCAAGCGAGCCCCGTGCGTGGCCCGGGAGCGGGGCGCCGGTGGGACTGGCCGCGGCGTGACGAACGGAACGGCCGAGCGACCGGTGGACGACGTCGGTGGTCCGACGACAAACGGTAGTGCAGCTTTAAACCAGAAGGGATCTCGGGCTCCTAAGTCGCCCAATCTTCTCAAGCGCCTCTTCAAGAAGGACGAGCCGCAGGATGCAGTCGAGGAGCAGCCGAAGGAGACGGTACGTGTGGGTTTGGTTCTTTCGCGAGATTGTTTTCTGCGTTTTAAGAGAACCGTAAATCGTGACAGGTGCTGCTAAGGCGGCTTGGGTGCATTTTGTACTTTGGCGTAGTCAGGAGTTTGTCATTGAGGTGCGGACTGGTGCCACTGAATTCGGTCTTGAGGTGGTGGGTTGGCTTGCGAAGTATGACTGAACTGGAGACAACAACCATGTTTGCCCTTAAAACCAGGTGTGTGTCAAGTGCCTGGTTGAGTTCGTCCGTACTTTAACGTCTCGGATCCTCAGTGCTATGCTGTTATCAAACTCAACCAATCTCAGCCAGCTGGCTCCTGCCGCGTCCAAACGTCTTGTCATGGTCGCGGAGGAGACCCGGTGAAGCTACCGCGTTGCGCGGCCGATCTCAGCTCCCTCCGTCGCCGTCCGGCCTCTCCAGACACGGCCGTCGCCGGCTGGCCGGCCGGCTCTTCCGGTCCGTCACCACTGTCCTCCGACCTGGTCTGCAGTCACACCCCCGCGGACCTCCGGCGGCTGTCGTCTGACCTGACCCGTGCCCGCCGACCCTGCCCCCGCTGACCTGTACGCCGCCCGGCCAGGCGGTGCCCAGCCCGGCGTTGAGGGCGGCGACTGTCGTCTGACCTGACCCGTGCCCGCCGACCCTGCCCCCGCTGACCTGTACGCCTTCCGGCCAGGCGGTGCCCAGTCCGGCGTCGAGGGCGGCGTTTCGGCGTTCGCTCGACTCGGCCACATCGGCCGTGTTCAGCCAGAAGACGGGCCTACCTCTCAGCTCGTCGCCGGCCCCGCTCCGCCGCGGCAACGCCTTCCACTTCGACGCCGCGCTCACCAAGGTCGGTGACGAGCGGGCGACGCTGGGCACCGAACCAACACACCAGACCTCGGCATTGGCGAAGTGACGTACCAAGCTTCATCCGTCGTTTATGAGCTGTACCCGTCGGGTGTTAAACGGATCCCAGGCGTGTAACCACATGCGTGTCAGGCGTGGGGCGGGCGATGCGTGGCAGGCCTGGGGCTGGGTATGAGAAGCTGCGCTTTTTGTGTTTGAAGTATGTGGATCGCCAGAGGAAATCAGTGGCGACATGACCAGACACTCCGGTTTGCGTTGGTCGGCCGTATCATGATGTATGGCACTGCATAACCGTTCGATCTGCCTTTGCTATTCCTGCCAAAAGTGCTGCTAGGTGGGCGCGATCCCACAGCCATCTTTAAACGCCATCCTATTTCGTCATCATACCATTTAGTTATTGCTGCAAGTCGCGTCTGTTTTCAGTGGTGCGGATAATTACGAAAGGTGGCGTGTCTGCTGCCTACTGTGCGTTCAGAAGCTCATGCTCTGCATCTGCGTCGCGGAATTAACGCAGCAGTGCGTGTGCATTCGATCAGTCTTCCCATCTGAGCGCCGGGTCTGTACGCAGCTGGTGCCGCTCCCCGCCGCTGCGTCACCTCGCCGTCAGTCGCGGCTGTCGTCCCGTCCGCACACGTGGCCGCGCCTCACGGCTCTTCCCGCCTCGGCAGGTGAAGACATTCAGCTCGGCGCTGAACGAGCTGACTGCCGACGCCGAGTCTGAGTCGGCCGAGCCCGAGCGGCGGCCGCTGTCGGCCAGCTGCCCGGCCGGCGTCGTCTCCTCCCTGCTGGGCAGCTTCGAGGAGTCGGTGCTGAACGGCCGGCTCGGCCCGGTCAGCACGGTCGAAGGCTTCTCGGCCGACATCGGCGCCAGCGGCTCCTTCCACCCCAAGCACGTCCGCCTGCCCGTCACCGTGTTCTTCTACTCGCTCTGCGACAATGAGAAGATCGCCTCGCCATACATGGTGAGTGGCCGTCGCCAGCCGAGGTGGAACGCGCTGCGGATTCTGGCGGCAAAATGACAGCGGGTTGTCAGACAGGGCCGTGCGGGCTCCAGTCTTCTAGATGTGGCTGCAGGTTGCATGGATTGGAGACACGGCCCAAATTTTAACGATATGTGCCTAAACTAAAATCGGTAAACGGTCCGTATGGTGGGCATGACAGTCGTGCAGCTGTTCCATGCGTGTGGTCGTCCATATCGTGGTCCTGGCTGCGTGCTGTATTGCGTGAGAAGTGGATGAGGTGGTCGCTTGGATGCTGTCCCGTGGGATGGTCCTCGACTTAAGCCGTTGCCGTTCTCGTATGCCCAGACCACTAATGCTTCCCATCAGCTGACATGCCATCAAGCGGGAGCCAGTCATTCAGACCTGCACGCTTCCTCCGCGTAGCAGCATAGCTGGTATTATTGTATTTGAGCGCCCCCCCCCCCTGCCTCGTGCTGCAGGGCCTCGTGAACCTGGGCCGCAAGGGCTACCACGTGCCGAAGAAGGGAACACTGCAGGTGACGCTGTTCAACCCGCACGGCACCGTGGTCAAGATGTTCGTGGTGATTATGACCTGAGC